TCCTCTTTATCTGTGGACCTGGGAAACCAGAAAACAAGTCATCTTCTAAAATACAATGGCAGGAGAGGCATAGGATCGATATTCCCACTCCAAAAGGGAGAAGTTATAACTAAAAGAGGGGTTGCGATCCCCAGACAAATTTGAAACCTATTAAGGCAGAATCCTTTATCTTACAAAGGCTGGAAATAAAGCCTGCATGTCCTGTCCTCTGGCCTCTCGGACCGCCCTACTCTCTTGGCTCGTTCTCTTACTTTCTGGAGTTTATCCTTAAAGGATATCATTCACAGCCCAGTAGTTTTAGCTCTGTCAGCCTGTTTCTTTTCTGTGTGTTAATGTCTGTGCATGTTGATAAACGTCATTTGAATGAACACTCGTAAGAATAACTGAAGTTTAGGGCTGCATGAATGGTGCATCTCAAGCCTGGGTCATCAGACTTCAATCTATTGTTTTTTCTCCACAAATTCGGGGCTTAAAGAGGTCCTGTGTCAGTAACATACAGGAGTTTGTGAAACCTCTATTGGCAGCTCAGACTTTGTTTTTATACTGGGTTTGTATCCAGAATACCAAATGAGCTGATACGTCAGGCATTAATGTGCACATATTAACTAAAATGTTAGATGATTGTCACTTCCCATAGAAGTAAGTCTGTATGAAATCCTACTATATATATAATCCAGTACTTGGAAAATAAAACCATTAGAATTTTTAGTATGACTTGTTATCCAAATCTAACTTTTGATGCTTTGAAGCAAGAACACAGATGGATGTGGCTTTACTCCCTTCCACTTGCCCAAGAAGTAAGTAACTGGCCCACTTTCTTTGAGAAGACTGAGGTGCTGTTACATATGCATTTTGGTGACCTTGTTTTGTAGAGAGTTTGATATAGATGGGCTTTGAGGTTCTGATTTTAGTAGGTTTTTGTGTTTATTTTTTCTTTTCCATAAACCTGCTATAGTAGCCAGGGGTATTGGATCTAAATGATGTAGGTTACTTATTTATTTACAATAAAACTGCTGTTGCTTTGTGGTCTCAATTAGTTAATCATTGCAGAATACTATATCTAACACTGTTTTCCTTTAAAGGTTAAGCTGTAAGTTAGAGGAATAGGTTTTTCTAAACTAGACTGGTGGTTCTCTATGTTTTTCAGTCATTTAATCTTACACACACACACACACACACACACACACACACACATGTATTCAACAGGATGACTAAATAGAAGATTGTAATAGAGATGACTACGAGGGTCAACAGTTAGGTTCATGAACCATCCTAGAAAAAGTGCTACATACCTCATTGCTGGGTATCATTCGTTACAGTCACCTTTGAAGTACTCCCCTTGGGAAGCTAGGCAGTGACACCAGCACCTAGTTCACCCAGCAAAGCAGTTTTGGAGCTCTTTTTCTGAAATAGCCATCAGAGCTGTTGTCAATATTTGTTGAGGTCTGACAAGCTCACAAACATGCCACATGGCGTTTATGTTGGCAGCACTGTACAAATAACTGTATTGGATTATCCTCTTTACTCACCTGATCTGGCTCCTAATGACTTTCTTTACCTGAAGACGTTCCCAAGGGGAGTACTTCGAAGGTGACTATAGTGATATTCAACAATGAGGTATGTAACACTTTTTCTAGGATGAGTTCGTGAACTTAATTGTCGGACTGCTTATTTGATGGTATTAGGATTTGCCAATATACTGGGGGTGCCAAAAAAATGTACACACATTTTAAGAGTTATTCACCATAATCAGAAGTCTGGACTCTGATGGTAACCACTTTGAGAACCTCTTGTAATTGCAGAAGTCAAATGTCAACTTGTATTCATCTTATTGGTAATACAATATTAGTACTTTTTTTTTCTTTCTTAAAATATGTATACTTTTTTTGGCACCCTCTCTCTATGTTCAGACATTGTGCTATCTTCAAATAGTTTGAGGGACAAATTTACTATTGTGCTGGTATTTCCTACTGATTTTTCTTTATTCTCGATTTCCAGGGTAAACTGTATTTCACAGAATATTTACCAGTTGTGTATTTCCACCATAATGCCACAATGTGGCACTGTTGTGCTGTGGCTGAATATGTACAAAATCGCCTTCTGTTGCTGTCAAATGTTTTTTGTGGGCTAGATAAGATACTTTCAATGGTATAAAAAAATGCACTCGTATTGGGTGCTTTTTAAGCTGTACTTCATGAGTTATGTGATTGCTTTCTATGATTGTGCTAGATTGATTGCCTTTTATGTTAATCAGTTTTTTATGAACGTATTTACTTAAAAGTTTTTTCTTTGATTACCCCGTCATATTTAGTTCAAAATCAGAGGACTTCTTGAAGGTTAAAAATTAAAATTTAGAGAAACCAAACAAAATGACACAATAGATGGCAACAAGCATATCTTTTTAAATTTAGGTTTTTTGGATATTGTCTATTAAAATTGTTATTCTGCTTAAAATGCATAATGCTCTCTTCCAAACCCAATATAGCCGTCCTTCCTATTGTTGTTAATTCGCTGTTTGTGCCAGAGGAAACACTTTGTGATTCACATAGATACATTCCTCTTAGTATTTGTAATTTTTTTATTTTATAAAATTTCAGATTGACTTCAGTTATTTTTGGAAGCTTTCTGTCTCTGCCTTCCTTAAGGTATTCCTTAGGATGTTATGGGCTTCAAGTTAGTCTCAGTAAGGTACTGAGGAATAAGCCCCAGACTGTGGAAAGGGATCCATGGCCCCAAATGGGGTAAGAAGCCTTTGCCGTGGAACTCTTAGATTCACAGTTTAGTATTTCAACGCTTGAAAATGAATGAGGATCTTCATCTTGACCCAAAGTACCATATACCATTGTAGGATCAGCAGAAATCTTTCCAGACTATTTTGACTCTTTCGGAGAATCATACATAGTTTTGTGAGAACTGACTTTTAATATTTTCTACCCTTGGATTACTATGGGGAAAGTACTTGGTTACTGCAGGAGACAGGTTACTCCCTGTGAAGATAAGGACCATGTCTGTTTTGTTCATCATATTCTCAGCATCCAGCACTTGGGTGTTTTTAGTGAGGATCATGGTGGAAATTCTAAGTGTTGAATTCTCATAGGGTGAATTAGTAATTAAATGCCAAGAAAACGTTAAGTGTGTGTGGGGGGGGTTGCCATCTTTTTTCCAGACATGCTTCTTTCCATAAGAAATGCCCATAGAGAGTGTGGGGCAACTCTCTCACCGTAAGAACTGCTGTCAGGCTGGGCGCAGTGGCTCATGCCTGTCGTCCCATTACTTGGGGAGGTCAAGGCAGGAGCATCACTTGAGCCCAGGAGTTCGAGACCAGCCTGAGCAACACATTGAGACCCGTCTCTACAAATAAATAAATAAATAGAGGAAGAAAAATTGCAATCAACCAGTTAGGAGTGTTGGATTTTGGAGTTTGGTATTTTAGAAGTAGGAGTTGGAGTTGACAAGCCATGTGAACAGAATCTGCAAAGGTTTTCTGGAAAATAATGTAATCATGAACTAAGGATAGAGGGCAGTAGAGCATTTAGGTAACTTAGCACATATAGTTAGCATCATTTATTCATCTGGTTTTAAATGTTTGCGGTTTGTCATTCTTGGGCCAGGCTTTCTGGTAGGCCCACTAGGTTGTAAGTATAAGAGAGCAAGAACTATTCCAATTTGGTTTTAACCTTTAGTTTAATACATGTTGGTGTAATATTGGTACACATTCTGCATATTTGTAGAATAAATAAAGGAATGGTGATAGAAAGTTCTTTTCTAGTGGTAGAGTCAGAAAAACATATAATTGTAATACTTTGGAAAACTACCAGAGGTCTATCATGTGTTTTAACTTATATCTTGGCCCTTAGTTCTGGGAATCATTAGTCCTTTGAGTTGTATTTTTTATTTTTCATTTATTTTTACAGTGCTGTGCATTATTTTGATATCTGTGGAATAGTGGAGCTAAAGATATGTTTCAGATTTTTAAAAATAAACCTATTTCACATCTACTTATGAATATTCTATTTAAAGAATAGAAACTAAAAAAAAATGTTTTTTGAGAAGTTATATTAGAAACCATGTTGAAAAACAGTTATTTTAAAGAAAATGAGTATTTGACAACTTTCCGATCATGGCAGTAACTTAGAGTACAAGAACAATTTTCAGCTTTTGATCCATTTCTCCAAAAAATTACAATGAAAGAATTATTTCCAGCCAGGCTCAATGGCTCAGCCTGTCTTCCCAGCTCTTTGGGAGGCCGAGGCAAGAGGATTGTCTGAGCCCAGGAGTTCGAGACCCGCCTGGGCAACTTGGTGAGACCTCGTCTCTACTCTACAACAACAATCAAAAATTAACCAGGCGTGGTAGCATGCGCCTGTAGTTCTGGCTACTTGGAAGACTGAGGCAGAAGAATCGCCGGAGCCCAATAGGTTGAGGCTGCAGTGGCCGGGAGTGTGCCGCTGCACTTCAGTCTGGGTGACAGAGTGAGACTCCAACTCAAAAAAAAAAAAAAGAACTATTTCCCTTTTTCCTCTGTTATGTAGCAAAGTACAATCTTAAACCTTCAAATAATATGGCTGTATTTTCAAAGTGTTTGTTGCAGACTCCTGATAAATATTCTGTCATATGTAAGAAATTTCCTTTAGTTATTTAGAATTTATAACAGGTTTGACTGCTAAATTTTATTAAGATTTTTCAGGGCATCTTTTGATACAAGCATTACTTTATGTAGTTTTTCTGCTTAATTACTTAATAATTGACAGAATTCCCCCAGCCCTGTTAAACTACTCTTCTGTTTCTGAACTGACACCTGGTTGTCATGGTTTGTTATTCTTTTAATTCCCAACTTATTTTGATTTGCTGATATTTTGTGAAGGGTTATTGCAAATACATTCAGAAGTGTGGTTGGTCTATAACTTCTTGAGTGTGCTGTTTGTAACAGTTTTAGTAATAGGGTCGCTTTTTAAAAAATAGAACTGCTATTTTAAATTCTGTATTTCCTTAATTGACAGGTCGTGGTTCAATTCCAGAATTCTTTCATATTATGAAAAGAAAGTTTACCAACAAAGAATGGGAAACAATCAGAAGCTTTAAGGATGAATGGACTCAGCTGGATATGTTTTATAGAAATTGGGTATAGTTTATTTATAATTTTGGAAACAAAAGTCTATTAATGAGTTCATTATTTTCTTTTAGACTAGGAGTAAAAGTTCTTCAGTTACTCAATAGTTAATGTAGCGTTCTTCAGTTTCCCTATAATACAGTGCTTGAAGCAAATGGTATGATTGCTTGAGAACGTCATGATTTTTATGCATACACTATTACATTGTAATGACATTTATTTTAAGAAACTTAGGTCCAGTGCAGTGGCTCTTGCCTGTAATCCCAGCACTTTGGGAGGTTGTAGCAGGAGGATTGCCTGAGCCCAGGAGTTTGAGACCAGCCTAGGCAACATAATGATACCTCATCTCTACAAAAAAATTAAAAATTAGCTGGTTGTGGTGGCTCATGCCTGTAATCCCAGCTACTTGGGACACTGAGCAGGAGGATCACTTAAGCCCAGAGGTGTGAGGCTGCAGTGAGCTGTGATTGTGCCACTGCACTCTAGTGGGCAACAGAGTGAGATCCTGGCTCCAAAAAGAAAATGTAACCTATATTTAATATTTAATTTGAAGGTGCTTATTCTTAGAGATAAAGCATTTTATAAGATAACACATTATGAATAAAACATCACCATTTATAAATAACATTTCCTATCTTAAAGGAACTAATACACATGAAGGCTTATGTAACAAACACATAATATTTACTACATTCCAGAAGTCATTACTTCAAGGTCTTTGTAAGTTAGTTAATTTAATTCACAAGCCTATGAAGAAGGTACTTTTACTGTCATCATCAGTTACAAGTGAGAGAACAGCGGCACAGAGCTTAAATGATTTGCTTTAAGATCACATGATGTTTTTTTCCCATGCTACAATAAGGGTTAAAAAAATAGCTTATAGACATAATGTAGTATGGAGTTAAAAATCTAAATGTATCAGGCCTACAGATTTTATGAGAAGTTTTATCTACTGAATTTTAAGAAAAATTGTTTCTCTGTTGTTAGGCACTCAAAGAAAGCTTCATAAAGGCCATTGGTGTTGGACTGGGATTTGAACTGCAACGGCTTGAATTTGATATATCTCCGTTAAACTTGGATATAGGCCAAGTTTATAAAGAAACACGTTTGTTCCTAGATGGAGAGGAAGAAAAAGAATGGGCATTTGAGGTGAGACACGTATTAGGATTGTTATAACTAAGAATTTCTGGGTTTTATCCATGTATGTGTGATTAATTTGAAGAGTCACTGAAATTAGACCACTGAATCTAGTCCTCTTGCTCTGAAAGTAAAGTCAGGGATACTGTGAGAGCATATTACACTTAAGCTAATACTTGAAAGATGAGTCTTGTGAGTTAAGTAGAATGGGAAAAGTAAGAGTCCCTGAAGTAGAAAGAACTGTGTGTGTGTAAACAGCCAAAGACAGCTACTTTGGCTGTGCCAAAATGAAAGAATTTGAGAGAGATTCCAGATTAGGCTGGTAGAGCATGCAGGGTATTATTGGTTGGGTTACATATTTTGTTTTCTTTCTATACTTTTGTCTCTGTCGACTAGTAATTTTGGGTTGCTTGTGAGAGAAGCCAACACAAACTTGTTTAAGCCAAAAAGACAATATCATAAGCTACTAGAGTGATTCAGTAACTGAGTTCTAGAATTAGCTAGAATTAGGGACTGGAATACTCAGAGCTCCTTTTCTCTTACTTTTGCCTTTCTAAATGTCTTGGCTTCAGTTTTCTCCCACCCTTGTTTCTCTGTCTGCACATCAGCTTTCTCAGCTTCTCTGATCTGCATGGCAGAAGACGTGGCTGCCTACCACTCTTGCATGTAGCAGTTTATCGTTTAAAAACCCAAAGAAACTGGTGAACTCCCTTTCTGTTCCAGACTGAAAAATCCTAGAGAAGGGAATTCCTGGTCTGCCTTGAGTTAGGTGTACATCTCCAGTCACTGCAGCCAAGGAAGTGGCCTACTTTGATTGGTCCTGTTTGGTGGGTCTTGGTGTCCAGAGCCCAGCAGGTGTGCTGTATTATAATGTGATTATTCCTACTGTAGCCACCTGAATGGTGTGCAGAGGTCAGTTCCCAGAATAAGATATTAGTGATGAGCCGATAAAATAATAGGTGTTTACTAATTTTCTCATGGGAGTTTAACAGGTACACAGTAGGGCATGATAAAATCAAATTTATATTTTAGGAAGATCAAATCCGGTGTGTGATGGTGTGTTGAGGTTAAGCAAGTGAGGTGTCAAAGATGTGAGCAGTTCTCTGACTTGTAAGACCATCTGGAGAGATACAGAATACAAGAAAATAAGTGGGATGCTAAGTCTGAGGTGCCAAAGGAACATCAAAGTGGAGATGTGAAGTAGGTGACTAAAATGGACTGGACTAGAGGAAAAAAATTATAATAATCAACCTGTCGGTGGTAGTTGAAACCTTGGGATTTGAAGTTGCAACTGAGGTTTCCTAAGGAGTGACTGTAAGTTGACTCTGAGGAGAAGCTTAAGTGGAAGCCATGAGATTATCTGAATTAGAAGAAAGGATGAGAGCAGAGCCCTAAGAACCCAGATGGTCCTGACTCAGGATGATTCAGCCTAATGCGTTTTTTACTTTAGAGTGTTCTAAAAATGACACACGTTCAGTAGAAACCGTGCTTCCAATACCCATGCAACCAATCTGTTTTCACTTTCAGTACAGTATGCAATCAATTACATAATATATTCACCACCTTATCGTAAGTTAGGCTTTGTGTTACATGATTTTACCCATTGTAGGCTAACGTAAGTGTTCTGAGCACATTTTAGGTAGCTTAGGCTAAGCTAGGCTAAAGTGGGTTGGGTGTATTTAGTGCATTTTCCACTTAGGATAATTTCCAACTTACGGTGAAGTTATCAGGATATAACACCATTGTGAGCCAAGGAAACTCTGTACTAATATTTTAAGGTGGAGTGTGGAAGGGACTGAATAAGAATGACCAGAAGGGTAAGATGTAAAATGAGAGGATAGTGTCAGAAGATCGAAGGGCAGAAAGCATTTTGAGAAAGAGAGTCTTATCAGAACTGCTAGGATACCAAGAAGGGGTTCTGTCAATTATAGAGTAAATTTTACTTAGGATCTTATATTTTAAAAGATAATACAGTTTTTTAAATTGTAACCAAAATTATTAGCTGTTGTTTTCATACTTAAGTGGGAAAGCCTTTGACATATGAGCATTACATGGAATCCTTTATTCTTAGTGATGCCGGATTAAAAGTTTTTATTGTACATTTTATCATTTATTTTTAGCTCTTACATTCATAAGATGTATGCTCATTGCATCATTATTATTTTATTTTTTATTTTAAAGATGTGGGGTACAATTCAGGGTTAAGTATACAAATGTTCATTATGCAGGTACCCTTGTTGATGAGGTGTGTCACCCCTCCCCTAGCAGAATCCCACTGCCAATCCCCGGCCCCCCCCCCCGGCAATTTCCCCTCTACTGACAATCCTTTTCGTATAATATTAGGATAATTATTCAAGGCCCACTTATGAGTGGGGACATAGGATACTCAGTTCTTTGTTTCTGTGATCTATCACTCATTATTATACTCTTAAGTCCATCTAAGTTGCTGTGAAGTTCATAATTTTGCCCTCCTTTATGACTGTATAATATTCCATCGTATATATGTACCACAGTGGGCAGCATGGTTGGTTCCATGTTTTTGCTATTGTGAGCAATGCTGCAATAAACAGGCGTGTGTATGTGTCTTTTTCATAAAGTGATTTGAGTTCCTCTGGGTATATTCCCAGTAGGGGGATTGCAGGGTTGTATGGAAGGTTGGTTTTTAGATCTTTTAGAAATCATCACACTGCTTTTCACAGAGGTTGTACTAGTTTATACTCCCACCAACAGTGTATAAGTGTTCCCTTTTCCCCACATCCTCTCCAGCATCTGTTGTTTTTTGAGATATTGATGATGGCCATCCTGACTGGAGTTAGGTGGTTTCTCAGTGTGGTTTTAATTTGCATTTCTTTGATGACTAGTGAGGCTGAGCATTTTTTTCATGTATCTGTTGACTACTCTCGAATGTCTTCTTTTGAGAGGTGCCTATTCATATCTTTTGCCCACTTTGTAATGGGCTGTTTTGTTTTGTTTTGTTTTTTTCTTTTCGGCATGTTTGGGTTTCTTGTAGATCCTAGATGTTAGGCCTTTGTCAGATTTACAGTTGGCAAATATTTTTTCCCAGTCCGCGGACTGTCCCTGCTCTCTTGATGATTTCTTTGACTTTGCAGAAGGTTGTCAGTTTGGTGAGGTCCCACTTATCTATCTTATCTCTTATGGCATGGGCACTCGGGGTTTTGATCAGGAATTGGTTGCCAATTTCAACTTCCATAAGGGTGTCTCCTACATTTTCTAAGGTTCTTACAATTTGAGGTTTTACATTTAGGTCTTTGATCCATTTAGAGTTGACTTTTGTGTGTGGTGATAGGTAAGGGTTCTGTTTCAGTCTTCTGCATGTGGTCAGCCAGTTTTCCCAGCACCATTTACAGAATAGGTTCTCTTCTCCTCAGTGGTTGATGGTGGAGGCTTTGTCGAAGATGAGTTGGTTGAGAAATTGAGTTTTTGCTTCTGGAATCTCTGTCCTGTTCCATTGGTCTATATGTTTGTTCTTGTACTGCATCATTATTTATAACTGAAAAATTCAGAAACACCTAATGTGAAAACTGAAGCAAACTGCCTTTTGCTAAATAATAATTTGTGTGGACATGGAAAAGGCACCTAAATACGTTACTGTGGGCATAATGCTTATGTTCTGATATTCAGTCAAAAAAGGATCTTTACAGCTGAAACAAACAAATTTATGTATACATAAAAAGACTGATTGGAAGGTACTCAGTGGTGTGTGGTGTAGGCAGTATGGAAGGCAGTTTAAGTTTTTGAGTTAGAGGAGAGTTAGAGTCTTAACTCCTACTTTTTTACCTCAGCAAGTATTATTTTTCTATATAACTTTTTTTTCTTTTTAAGCATGTCCTCCTATTGCATGAATTCTTTGAAATTTTGTGATTGAATTAAGTGTGACTTTGGGGTGCATTTGAAGTAATTTATTATATTTATTTTTTTCAGGTTAACCTAATAAAGGTCTCATTTTATGTTTAAAATGAACTGGATTAGCATTAGATAGATGTCTTTCTGGTTTTCCAGGTTTAACCCAAAGTATTTGGGTTCTATTAGGAAGCCAACAGCTAGTACCCAAACAACAATTTACATTGCATTATTTAAAAAATGTCCTGCAGATTTTCTTTTCAAGAGTAAACATAAAGGGTGTTAAGTCAAGTTTCTTCTTTTGACATAATGAGAAATGCTGGCCACTTTCATGTGGTGCTTTGTAGGATTGCAAAATTGGTTCAGTGACCAGACTCAAGTCAGTCTGTATATCAGAGAAGTCTGTTTGTGTGGGGACTGGTGGATGGCTGTGCTGAAATGACACACTAGTAGACCCATATCTCTGTGGTCTCTCAAGTAGAATGGAAAGCATCAAGAGAGTTTGTAGGAAAACTTGTTTGTGTTCGCAAGAGTTGAGAGGTGTGTGTGAAAATAGCCACTTCTTAACTGAAAGAATTTAAAAGCAGGATCCTGGCTGGAGAACTCCTAGTATGTAGAATGAGGAGGGAAGAGTCAACAGTTAGGCCTCTGTGCTTTATCTATTTGGTAAACAGACAAAAAGATGCCTGAGTTCCGGTGGACCAAATAGACACTGTGGAATGTAAAAGCTGCTAGACTTGCAGTGTCTTGAAAGGGCTCCAGCTAAGAGGAGCCCCAAAAGAAAGAGACAGTGGAAATTCCACTGTGTATTCATACTGACGGCAGAGATTACAAGAAGCAGCTGTTGAATGCATTGCTAGCTCCACGAGTAGTACAGGTTTGAGGGACTTGAAGTGGGTCTCTGAAAATTTCACGGATAATACCCTATGGGATAAGCGAGCATTTAGACCCTGATAAGATGCAGGGTCCCAAAAACTGGATTACACTAGCACTGGTCTTTTCTTTGTTCCATTCTGCAGTCTTCTTCCTCTGAACTTCCACCTACATTGAGTAAAACAAAGTGGAAGAGAAAGAATAGAAGAGCACGGTGAAGCCAGGAGGGAAAATGTACATTTGTTCTAGAAGAAGTGGGATTGTTGTAGCTGGAAGGG